CAACCTTTTATGGTTAAAAAACCTATAAACTGCTTCAGATTTCTATTTGATTAACAGTTTTAAATTTTAATTTTAATTTTTAATTGTAAATGTAATATAATTGGATTTTAAAGTGTTGGTCCTACACAACAAACTATTAACATACATCACATTTAATTCGGTAAAGTTGTGATGGTCATTTCTTTCTTTTTTCCTCACATTTTGGATACAAAAATAATAATAATAATAATAAAAATGTTCTTGGTGCTCAAAGCTTAACACAAAAAGGAAGTGATCCAAACAGAGATGATGATCAATTAAGTTTAGTCGCAGCTATACATGAAAATAAATACTACAAATCATAAATAAATCTCGTCTTGTAAGAAAAAGTGAGCAAAAATCGTGAAAACTTCTGCTAAAAATAAATCACAACCATGCCCCATACTATCACGTGTATCCCCTGCATCACATTGGTGCTTTCTCCCACTTAACATACACCGGTGTGTATACAGCCAGTGCAGAGGAAGACATGGGTGGAAGAGACCAACTGAATTATACAATGTATCCTGAATAAAAAGGAAATTAATGAATTATGGATAGGTATTATTATGTCGTTAAGGTCTGACTGAGGAGAATATTAGCCTGCTTGTTGAAGGTCCAACATAAGGCTGCTGGGGGGGGGACATGCACGTTCGACCATCTGCTTCAAAGCGGCAGGAGGGGAGCCCGGAATCCTTTTTCTCTCTGACTGCACCTTGCATAATATTACTGAGGTTTTCCAGACAGACAGCCTGCAGTGGTGGAGTCCACTGGGATTCACAGAGCAGGTGGAGAGGGAGGTGGAGGTGTGATGATGGATAGGGGATTGCACGGATCAATACGGGCATCATTAATATGCACATAAAAAGCTGCAGCTGGTGTTTCATGTCCTCTTTCTACACGCATGCCTTTCTCTCTGTCTGTCTGTCCTTCCCTTTGAATGTTCGGAGGGAATGTGTGTGCATGAATGGACATCAGACATGGAGACCCAGCGCTGTGCACACTGGGCTGCATGCAGGAGGAGCAGACTGGAAGCTCTTTGTCCAGCACACACTGGCCCTGCTTTGGATGGATCATAACACCAACTAATTACATTTATCCATTTGTGGCTGGCTGGTGCTGCCTCCATAATGCTGTTGAGTGTCTCTTTAGTGGGAACAAGCTCGACAGCGTTCTCAAGACCCAGAAAGCTTCTCTGAGAGTCCGGTGCTTTTACCCAGCCCAGCCCTCCAGCACACGGATCACGAGCAATAGAAATTGGACGGTTTTCAGGCAACTATTACACTGTTATAGTACAACCACGTACAGTAGACCTCGTGTAATGGATGTCAATCAACGTGATCAACAAGTTATTAATAATCTGTGAGGAGGGCATCAACACCGATCAAGCCAAAAACATTTATTTTATTCGGCACAGTTTGTCCCTAAAGTGTGTGAGTGACCACTACGCTCTGGTTGGATAGTTTTGATTGCTAATAATAAAACAAATTGTATTCATAAAACTTAACATCATCCACATTCCTTGAAAACACATGATAATGAGGAGGTGAAAGCACCGGCAGTGCTGCGCGGAGCTCCGGAGCCGCTTACCTTCACCGGGCAGCGGCGGTCCTGGAGTCCGACTACAGAGCGAGGGAGGCCGGGGATGCTGCCGCCGCTGCTCCCTCTCCTCCTGGAGGGATGGTTGGATGGATGAAAATATGTTTTTTTTCTCCTCTCCACCGATCTGATACCACGCTTCTTCCTCGCAGAACCGAGAAGATTCACAGCCAGGAGGGGGTGAGGCTGACGGGAGAAAAAGCAAGGCAACGTAATCCTGAATGGTAATGGCTGTCGATCCTCCTCCCTCTCCAATCTCTGACCAACAAAAAAACCAACAGGCAGATAGAGAGCGCGATGATCGCTATAAGATGAGAGATCGCTATTATATACTGATAGAGAGGAGATCTCTCTCTCTCTCTCTCTCTCTCTCTCTCTCTCTCTCTCTCTCTCTCTCTCTCTCTCTCTCTCTCTCTCTCTCTCTCTCTCTCTAATAAGCTATTGTTTTCACGGCTCTGACACTTAACCCATGTCTATTCAGAGTGTTAAGTGTCGCGTAAATTGACATTTCGGTTCTACTCATGCGTCATGCGTGGCTCAGCTGCTTGACGCCGACACACATACACGTTCTCTCAATTTTGGGCAGGATTGGGTAAATAAATAAGGGCGTTCACATTGCCATGTTTGCAGCGCCTACTCATTCACGTCGCCTATATTTCAGGATTAGGCATGAAGAATCCGCGCTGGAGTTGAACCTGTGCTTTTTACATCACATGAGATCGTATTAAAGTGGGTTTTTATAATCCCTCCCTCCCTCCACTGACTCACCACCCCCTCCTCTCTCGAACAGCTGGAGGAAAAAGGGAGTAGCTCAAAAAAAGCAAATTGATTACAGCTGGAGAGATGTAGGGTTGATCTGTCTCGGGTGTCAGGGTCATGTTAGGACCACACCATCACAGGTTCTAACACTATTAATAGATTTTTAATTTAGTGTGAAATGTAAGCTAACAATGCCATCTTAAACAATCAACCACTCAAACCTTGTTCATAGTTGATAAAAGATGGGGCCTGTAAACAGAGCTGGTGGAGACCAAACATGGAGATAACATGATAAGATTGATCAGGTGGCAAAACACTCCAAAATGTGCTCACAAGAGAAGAACATAAATGAAAGGGATGGTTTGCAGTCAGATAGCTCTTTTCCGTTGACCTGAAGACGTTATTTATGGTTATGGTTATAGTTATTTAGACTCTCTCCAAAGCCACAAGTCCATAGACGAAAACAGTTATTTTACCCCACAGAAAACTTGTATATCAGCACCAACCCTTTGAAACATGAAAGTCCAACACTATCACAAACAAACTAACCGTTACAACAACTTTCCTGGTTTCTTCAATCTGAAATTAAAGTTGTTGTTAATGGAGTCTGGTGGCTTTGAAAGAGCATAAGTATCAGCTTAAGATCCTGATAGATTCTAGCTATTTAACAGCAATGTAAAGGGGCAAACGTATTTTAAAATATAGCGTACCCTTAAACTGATGGCTTTTTTCAGGCGGCTTGAATGCGTTTTTCTTCTTCCCCCATACACTGCGGTACGTGTTCTTAGCTTGTGCTGGTACTCCTGTCTGATCCTCAAAAACTGGGGGAATGACAACTGTAGATACACTGACTTTGTGTACGTACCTCGTACATTTTAAGAAATCCAAACTATTCCTTTATGTATTTTCCTTTCTCTCAGATTGATAAGTAACTTGGATTTGTCAGTGTTGGTTCTTCCACATCCTTCCTCCATACAGCTGATCAGAGGTCTGTGCTGCAGCCACTTTAATCACACAGCAGCTGATGCACTGACCGACCACATGAACCGCAACGATAAACTCGGTGTAAAGATCACTTCGACTGCTCATTCTTTGGATTGATGATGACCTTTCAGTATAAACAGGGCTGTAGTATCAAACTGAAGTTCTTGACATGAATCCACTGATGCTGCCAACAAATGTAAATAATTGAAACCATGTGATATTGTGAGTAGCCTAATGGATCTATGTCTGTATTTTTACTATAAATAATAAAGCCAATTTGGATTTTTTTTTCAGACAAAGCTTGACTGTCATTCTCAGTAAAACATGTATTCATACACACAGGTATACTGGCAGATTATAAATTGTAACATTAGACATTTTTTGGGGAAAACTCCAAAAAAGTTCTGAAAGGAAATGCAGTTTCAGTACTTTGTCTTTTCACCGAAGTACGTCATGTACAATAATTATTACTAAAATTAAACAATTCATAAAAATGTGTAGGATTTAGGATTATAGAAATATAGAGATTTTCAGATTTCCAAAGCAGATGGCTTTTGACCAAACAAAGACAGTTAACCCTAACCACACACAAAACCTTACTGAAAAAAGTCCCAAATTGTACATTTAATGTATTTAATAATTGTATGATATTTAATTTGAGAACCGCAATGTCAACTACATGTAGTATGTTTTCCTTAATGAATGTAGACACAGTCATTTTCAAAAGCACCTCAATAATTCTATTCCTGCAAATCTCCCCCTAAAAAAAGAGCAGAAATGTCTGCATGTAAAACCAAAAAAGGTAGAAACTTGTTTGGTTCTTCAGAGAGACTTCATGAATGTCCTAACTTTCTTATGTGTGCCTTTGGCTCCACCTTGTGGTGCTTCACAGAGCCTGATCATCCCATCAGTTGGACTCAAACGCTGTTAAATTGAATCAGGGATGACAAACAGCACTCCTTCATATCAATCTCTCATCATAGAGCCGTCCCTCAGGAGCGCTTACTATCTACCATTTAACGATTTACTAAATGAGGTTAAGAAAATGGACTGTAGTGAAACCATTTATCCAGCTGTGGTGAGGCTATTCAGTTAGGCTAAATGTACTACATTTAGGCTATTTGTTTTCTGCCATCATCACTCCCAGAATGCCTGGTTTCCATTATTCCCTGCATTTTTGTATAAGGCAAGCATAGAGCACAAGTGAATGCTTTAATTATCTTTGGACTAAACACATTACACACTTTTAAAAAGAAAATCATCAAAAGTACTATATTGAAGTTTGTAAGTTATTACATAATTGAGATAGTGTGTTTCAAACATAACTGACTTCAAGTATTAAAAGTATAATTGCCCATGTGAGTGTTATACAAGTATATGTTTTGTTATGACCAATAATTACTGATGCAATAATGTTTAAGGATCCTGGCTTCATATTAGTATGTAGTGTCTCTACTGTGACATGTTTACATGCTTTAATGTTCAAAAAGCTCTTTATATCCTTATACTTCCTGTACAAAAATACTTGACTACTGCATATTACGTTTTTGTATTTTTATTATAAGTTATTGAAAGTACTGAGATGTTTTCATTCTTTGCTTCTTCACACACTGCATGAAGTGAAAAAAGAAGACTTGACGTGAATGGTTAGATATTTAATAATAACATTTATTTGCTAAATTGTACAGGGAACAGGAAATATGGCTAGCTGATGAGAACAGGAAGAGCTGTGCAGAGCTGCTGCCTCATGGAGACGGGTTAGCCTGTCCTGAGTGGCAGGGCGGCGGGGTGTACGTCCCCTCCTTAATCATCTTATCACGCTGCTGACGGATGGCGTACAGCCTCTTGCTCTGCGGGAGGAAGAGAAGAGGGCGTTACATGATGAGGCAGAAAGACAGGATGCAGGGACAGAAACTTACATTTAAAAAAAGGGACATTTTACCCCAAACATCAAAAAAAGCCATTTTGCTCCAACATACACTGCTTGGTTGGGTGTGAATTGTCGAATGTTGGAATATGAAATATAGAAAATATTTAAACTCAACAGCAATGTCTCTTTCCAGAAATCATGACTTTGGTTACTTGAAGAGGACCTATTATGCTCATTGTTCAAGTTCATATTTGATTTTGTTTCCATGCTTTAATGTTCAAAAAGCTCTATTTCTCATACTGCAGCACCTCTTTTCACCCTCTGTCTGAAACCAGAGCCCAGTCTGCTCTGATTGGTTAGCTGGCCACCTCTGTTGTGATTGGTCAACCGCTTGGAATGTATTCTTTGCGGAGCATTTACATACACAAAAACCTATTTAACACACTACATTAAGGGAAACCAAAAAGCATAATAGGGTCCTTTACTAAAATCCACGTTTTTTTCTTTATACCAAACAACATCCACAAACCCTATCACCACGCAGAACAAAGCATCTCCCCGTGGGCAAGAGGGCTTTTGATGGTAGGAAATGGCAACATGAATAACTCAGGTGAGCTAGCAGTATCTAAATACATGCACACTTGTTTGTAAATGTTCATTGATGCGGTTGCCAGATGTAGTTTGATTGTGTGAAAATAGTTCCTACATGAAACTGCTCACAACAAGAGATCGTGGTCATGATTTCTTGAATAAGACACTGCTGTTTAGTTTTTCAAAAGTACTTTGTAGCACTCTGAGCACTACAGTCCAAGTGCAGCAATCTAGAATAACAGAAAAACAGGTAAACGGAAATACATACAATTTCCGTTAAGTCCCTCTGTATCCCTCAACCTTGTTGTTTCTCTTTGAGGAGGATAAAGCCAAAGAAATGAGTGATTCTAACTTTGTGTTTTACTCCAGTCACCATGTGAAGATGAGAAAACCCTACCATCCCTACCTCAGTTCTGTGCAGTACACATGCAGATTTCCATCCAAATCAAATGTGAATCCTCCTCATCATGAAATGTCTTTTCTTAGCTGACCTTCATCTTAAATCAGCACTTCCTCCTCATCATGTTCTGAAAGAATGTGACGTGGTGTTTGGATGGAGGCGATGGGATGGTGCTGCTGCAGCACATTACAGTGAGCGGGGGGGGGGGTGCTTCTGTCTGTCTCTCCTCTGCTAACACACACTGACCTCAGCTCTGACACCATCTGGAGGCTGAGATGACGGTGCTATTTGCTTTCTGAACACTTTGGTTACTCATTTCTATTCTATTACTCTCATTTCTTACCTTACTAAATGCTTTTATTTAAATATACCTGCTAGAAAATGCTCCCTTCCGTTCATCCTTTCAACCACACCAACGTTTAAAGGTCCCATGACATGGCCATTTCTGCTGATCATAATTCCATTGTTGAGGTCTACTAGAATAGATTTGCATTGTTCAATGTTCCAAACTCACATTGGTTTCTCAAACAGCATCTCTGTAAAGTATGTGTATTCACTCTCTGTCCTAAACGCCTTGTTGGAGCGCCTTTGCGTACCTCAAAACAAAAACACATATTTCGTCTACACGTGTTCCTTGTCAACAGTCAATGGAGTAAACTACGAGACATGTAAAAAAGACATTAAGCAGCTACGTTGCCGTTTCGCTCCCTGCAAAAACTCTTCAGACTATCTGTGACTGACTGAACTGGAGCTGGCCGAGCCGCGCAGGACATAACCCACGGACCTGTGAAGCTTACAGGAGGCAGAGGCTTAGATCACCGGACAACAGAGTTGGTCGCCGTGTGCATAGACAGGGTTAACGTCGGTATGAACAACAGGTCAAGCTGCTGCAGTTTCATTTACAACAAAGTGGAGTAAAACACACAGTTGCAAACTTACTCAGGGTGTTAATGGAAGAGTTTGAAATCAGACAGAGGTGGAAGAAGTACTCAGATCTTGTGTATACTCTGTTACAGTAAAAGTCCTGCATTCAAAATGTTACTCAAGTAAAATTAGAAAAGTATTATAAAATATACTTAAAGTACCAAAAGTAGAAGTAGTCGTTGTGCAGATTGGTCCATTTCAGAATAATATATATGATATGTTTTATAATGATTGATCATGAAAGTGTTCTCAAAGCTGGTGAAGGTGCAGCTAGTTTGAATGACTTTGTATACTGCAGGGTAGCTGGTGGATTTACTCCAGGTGGAACTAAAGTCTGATTCAACACTTGATTAGATTTCACATCATTCATCCACATCTGTGAAGTAACTAAAGGTATTAATACATGTAGTGGAGTAGAAGTACACAGAAGCATCAAAGTCAAGTAAAGTACACATATCTCAAAATTGTACTTAAGTACTTGAAGAAGTGTACTTAGTAACTTCCCACATCTGAAATCAGATCACATGACTTCAAGTCATGTGATCATTTCTTAGTATTTGATCCTTCAACTTGGCCTCAGGAAATGCAAGGATTTCACAGTTTTGGAGAAAGCTAATCGGAGGCTTAAAAAGAGACAGGGAGGTGCATCTTCATCATCTTCATCATCTAGCATGCAAGAAGTGTAAATAGAGGACAGTGAAGGAGACACTAAGGAGGAGCACTCTTTGTGTGGGGTGAGTACCAAACGCTGTCTCCTGGTACTCATCTGAGTAACTCACTCAAAAGGTTATGTGCACCCCTGGTTATATAACCTTTTCCAAAGAGATGTCTGACTGTGATCACCACACAGAGCCACACTGTTTCCACTTGTTACACTTCTGATGTGAAAAAAGACACAATAACATAACGAAAAACATGTGTCCGGTTCTGAACTTTTTCACACTCAGAGAATGACATACACGAAAAAAAACATTTGAGAATAGTTTCTTTGTCTTTACATAAGGGACGTGAGTCAGATTGAAATAGGTCAGAGCTATAGAATATACAATCCTCCATCTTTCTCCAAACATCTTTGCCTTTCATACCGTCGTGTGTGCATAAACTACAGGTTATGGACTACTTTTTCAAATGGGAAACGATTGGTTATCTCATTGGCTAAGAGGTAGACCAATAAAAGGTATTGGTTAAAGAAGACCATACTGTGCATTAGGGGTGTAACGGTTCACAGAAGTCACGGTTCGGTTCGTACCTCGGTTTGGGGGTCACGGTTCGGTACGGTACGGTTCGGTACGGTTCGGTCCGACAAGAAAAAGCAAAAAAAAGTCCCAAATGCATAATTCCAGGTTTGTTGTTATTTATGTTTGAACAGTAGTGCAAGTTTCAGTTTAAAAATAAACAACTGACATTTTGAATAATGAACTGTATTAAACAGTTAAAAACAAACCATACACAGTACACTCAGATGGCCATATTATCTATAATGGCTGATGTCAAACAAAAAGGTTTCATCAAGCTGTAAAGCTAAAAAGAATGTCTTGAAAATATCACATCATAAATAATAAGAAAGTGTTTCAAGAGCGCAAAGTCGTTGAAAAACATATGCCAAAAGCTTCCGTTATTTATTTTGGTCTCACGGCTTTCATTTCTATTGGTTTATAAAAACAGCGGGGATCAGCTGTTGAACTGCTGTTGTCTTTTGCCGGGCTCCGGTGATTGGCAAATCTGGGTGATGCCTTCTGATATGATTTAGCATGTTTGGCATGTGTTCTCATTAGCATACCGCACCACTGTAGAACAACGGCGACACACCGTCCTCGTCCGATCCACCACTCGCGCACTCCATCGTTATTGTAGTCCACAGGGAACCCGAAATGTTCCCACACAGCTGATTTAAAAGAAGCAGGTGGGTTCTAGCTCCTGTGTGTTATCTGAAATCGCCATACTAACTTTTCTTCTTCTTGTATTTTGTTCGTTTTGTTGTTGTGTTTCTTCTTGTTCTTCATTTGTTGTTTAAGGGCGGCTGGCAAACAGCTTTTAGGCGCAATACCGCCCCCTGGATTATATATAGTGTAGTGGATACTGCCCTGAATGACAGACTTTTTTCCCACTCGTAAAAAAAAGGCGTATTCGTCGTGTGACTGCGTGTGCCGAACCGTGACGTCTGAACCGTGACGGTACGGGACGAATACGGATACCGTTACACCCCTACTGTGCATCCCTTTTCCAGCAGTCACCGCTCTGAAATGATACTAAAATAACTCCCACAGGAGTCAGAGAGCATTGAGACACTTACTGTCTTCTTCTTGTGCAAGCACTCGTTGAAATCCTCTAACTCCAGATGGCACTCCTTCTGGGAGCGGGCCTGCCCAATGTTGTGGGAGCACTCGATCCAATCCTTCTCAAAAGCGTGGCAGCGCGCCGCCTTATGCTTGGGCTGAAGGCTGCTCTGAGTCAGCAGCCATTTATCAGCGTTGATGCCGAGCCGAGTCTGCAGGTCCACAAACGGCATGATGCTAATGAGGGAGAAGACGGAGAGGAGAGAATAATGAGCAACAAAAACAAACAGGAAGTAGCAGGAAGAAGACGGAGAAATCACAAAGACAAGAAGAAGGCAGAATAAAAACATCAGCCTTGAAAAACTGCCACTAAAGCTGTATAAGTGCCGTTATAACAAAACAAATTAAAGTTTTGACAGCAAAAATTATTATTGCACATGAAAAGTGAGCACCTTACAGTAGTAGTGATTATATTATAACGAAGTTTAAAGAAAAGTTACAGCATAAATACAGTCTTTGTATATTTTTAAATGTTAAATGCTTGGTTTCAAAACCAAAGGCTATTTGCCAACTGGGCTGATTGTATGGAAGTCTCTTTGGGGACAAGCATCTAATAAGTGACATTACAAATACGTAAGTAACGTCACGAGTTTCTGCTCAACATAAAACGTGCATAAAAAGGTTCCTTTTCATAACATCTGCTTTCTTGTAAGTAAAAGGGTTATATAGACTGTAGACTTGATGGTGTCATTTCAATGATAAATACACAAACACAAACAAGAAGTTGTGCATGCAACAGTGCAGTATGATTCATACAAAAAGAGCAAACCCTAACTTGATAACCTCATAGTTCAGCTGCTGTGCCACCAATATGATAACAGTGCTGTCTTACTGCCGCATCACTGCTTTACAGACTTTCATGGAAGTGACATACACATTCAAGGAGTAAATATGCTAAATTATTATTAACATTCAACTCCCACTATTTTATCCTTTAAACCTGTCGATTAACGTTATATAGCTAGCACCTAGCTAACTCATGTTCGAATAGCTAGCTGGCGTACCCTCTGCTGAAAAAAACACCCTAAGCTTATTATATATTAAAATGGAGTCATGACACAATCATTTAAACTCTTTCTATAAAGCTGTCTCCTGTCAGGTGTTAGCATGTTATGCTAACCAGTCTCCTTCAGCGACTGCTCGTTCATGTCAACAGGCCGCTCTATCTTAACACTGATGTTTTTAAAATGCAAATGCACATGACATCGTGTCTATACAAGTAAGGAGCTGATATGAAACCTACATTCAAGAACAATGTATCTGTATTTACCGTGTTTGATAGGAATCACTTCGACCAGAGAGGTTCGCTTTAACCTTCCGCCGAGTCCACGCGTTTCGCTTTACGGCAGACCAAAACACGGCCGTAAAATGAGGTAGTGACGTGAAGAGACGCTCTTTCACCTCAGTCGCTTACCGGAAAGGAGGAGAGGAGAGCCAGTGGCATCGTGAAAAGGGAAACTACTGTAGATATCAACTATCTCGCTTGATTTCAAGTTTTTTCTCTCAATATTTTGTAAATAACACAAAAAAAGGTCTTTAAGGATAGGCTATGTATTCTAAAATTGCACATCTAGGGAAATTCAAACTAAAATCCCTTAGTGTGATGTAGTTATATATTGTCTTAAAATTAGTGCTGTCAAAATTATCGCGTTAACGGTGGTAATTAATTTTTTGAATGAATTGCGTTAAAATATTTAACGCATTTACCGCATGTGCAGAATGGCCCGCCCCATAGGCTACGTGGCAGCGCCAGGGTATGGCTGGGGTAGGCTACACCTCTTATTATACATCCATGGGCTACACCCATGATTCAAAAATTGATTAAAATGTTAATCGTTTGACAGCCCTACTTAAAATATAAAATAATATAATATATTAAAATAAAATATAAAATTTACGTAGGATTGCAACTCTTTGAAACTGTAGGTGGCTCTTAAACGAGCCGTTGTGTTTGGGTGTGCTGGTCTCAGGTCAGTCTAAGCCCTCTCTCCGCGGATGCGGCGGGCCAGCTGGATGTCCTTGGGCATGATGGTGACTCTCTTTGCTTGGTTCATCTTGGGGGGCAGCTACATGGATGTCGGTGCAGTCCACAATCATTGTGCAGTTGAAGGCAGAATGAATTTATTATTGACTCCGAATGAAGCACAACTTCATGTCATACAATACATTGACTTTATTTGTAATTGTGTACAAAAATATGAGCATTGATTAGCAAGCAGGACCTGCAGGAACAGAGAATGGTGATGGATGGAGCTGGGAAGAGAGAATAATAAAGAAAACAGATCAACTTTATTATCGGATATTAAAAATTCTATTTCAAAACAAGTTGCCGCTCCTACAGTTTTCTAGTGTGTAAAGATGATTTCACATGACCTATGCAAAATATCACACTCAATACATGTGTGTCTCTGGGGGGTGCATTGTGCCTTTGATGTATATAAATAATATACCATAACCAAATACTATTACGTACAGTGGAAATCAGGTTGCCAGAGCAGGTCAGTGTGCATGTTCCTCAACGTCTCAGCAGTTACAGGTGAGGTAAAGAAAAGAAAAAAGAAAAAGGTCAGTAACAACACTTTAAAGTAACAACACTTTGAATAATTATCTCTTCTAACAATTTTCTCTCAGTAAGCACACAACGACTGTCTTTCCAACAAACAGATTGACTCACTCTCTTTGTCATCACAATGAAACACGTCCAGAAGAATGACATGCAAAGCTCCCTGCCTGCCTTCGACTCTCCCTGAACTGCTTCCTTAGCACCCGGTGGAGGGCGCAGTAGGCTACTCTTCAAAAGTTTCACGAAATACTTACCATCATGTTTGGTTACTGTTTAACATTTTGGTTTACTTCATGTAATAAAATAATAACTTCATGGTAAGGCTACTAAAAATGACAAGGCTAATGTTAGGATCTGTCTGTGTTGGTGTTTTTCTTGTCTTTTTCTATCTTTGGGTTTCCTGTTTTATTTTGTAAAGTGTTCACCCCCGTTTCCTGCCTGTTTGCTTTCTGTCTGTTTCCCTCCCCGATTACCCGATTGTGTTCACCTGGTACCTCTGTGTTTTCTCCTCCCTCCTCACCTGTCTCGTGTTTCTGTGATTAGTCCTGGGTGTATTTAAGTTCTGGGTTTTCTGTCTCTCTTTGTCGGGTTGTCTTGTGTTATGACCAGTTCATTGGTGAGTGTTCCGTGCTGTCTTTGTGTAGCCTATATCTAGCCTTGAAATAAAGGAATTATTGTTACTCTAATCTGCATTTGGGTCCTGCTTCCTGCACACCGTAACAGCCACCGTAACATTACAACCCGGCCCAAAATATGGGCCCAGCAGATCCTTTTGAGCAGGAGCTATTGGAGTTTTCCTTTGCTTTGGATGACTGCTCGTATCGATGGTTGGGAGCGTCCAGGGTTCAGCAGCGAGAGGCTGTTCTGGCAGAGGCACGCCGGATTACTATGGAGAAGCCAGGCTTGGTTAAATTCTTATCGGGCAGGATTTTGGATTTTCTCACGCTGTGTTATCCCTTGCCTGACAGCCCCAGGCCTCCCAACTCCCGTTTTGATACCACACGCATCGGTGTGGTCCGTCTGGCGTCAGCCCCTGCTTCTCACCCAGTGTTTGCTACAGTCCAGGAGCCATTCGCTGGTACTCGTCTGGCCTTTGGAGGTCCACGGAGCCTCCAAACGGCTCCTAAAGGAAGGAGTCGCAAGGCCAGGTTGGCAGCACGAGCCCAAAGGGCCATGGTTCCAGACCCAGTTCTGGCCCCAGCAGCCATGGTCCTTGCTCCAGAACCGGTCCCGGCAGCCATGGATTCGGCTTCAGAACCGGACCTTACAGCCAAGATTCTGGCTTCAATTCCGGCTCCAGAGCCGGCCCATTCAGCCATGTTTCCGGCTCCAGAACTGGACCTTACAGCCATATTTCCGGCTCCAGAAACGGACCTTACAGCCATGATTCTGGCTTCAGTACCGGCCCCAGTAGCCATGGTCCCGACTCCAGTTTTGGCTCCAGGACTGGCGTACCGGCCAACGCCAGCTCCTCGAGGCCTGTCGGCGTACCGGCCGACTCCAGCACCTCGTCTCCTGCTGGCTCCCCAGCCGACGCCAGCTCCCCGAGTCTTGTCGGCGTACCGGCCGACTCCAGCACCTCGTCTCCTGCTGGCTCTCCAGCCGACGCCAGCTCCCCGTGTCCTGTCGGCGTACCGACCGACACAAGTTCCTTCTCAAGACCCTTCTCAAGTCCCCTCTCAAGTCCCCTCTCGACTTCCCTCTCAAATTCCTTTTCAAGTCCCCTCTCAAGTCTCCTCTCCAGTTCCCTCTCGAGTTGCCTCTCGAGCTACCTCTCGAGTCACCTCTCAAGTCACCCTTCAAGTCTCCTCTCGAGTTCCCTCTCAGGTCCCCTCTCGATTCTCTTCTCAAGTTCCCTCTCAAGTCCCCTCTCAAGTCCCCTCTCAGGTCCCATCTCGAGTCTCTTCTCAAGTCCCCTCTCAGGTCCCATCTCGAGTCCTCTCTCGAGTCTCCTCTCAAGTTCCCTCTCGAGTTCCCTCTCAAGTCTCCTCTCGAGTTCCCTCTCAGGTCCCATCTCGAGTCTCTTCTCGAGTTCCCTCTCAAGTCATCTCTCGAGTCCCCTTTTGAGTCCCCTCTCAAGTCTCCTCTCGAGTTCCCTCTCAAGTCATCTCTCGAGTCCCCGCTCGAGTCCCCGCTCGAGTTACCTCTCAAGTCACCTCTCGAGTCTCCTCTTGAGTTCCCTCTCGAGATTCCTCTCAAGTCACCTCTCCAGTCAACTCTCAAGTTTCCTCTCGAGTTCCCTCTCGAGTCACCTCTCGAGTTCCCTCTCGAGTCACCTCTCGAGTTCCCTCTCGAGTCACCTCTCGAGTCCCCTCTCCAGTTTCTTCTCAAGTCCCCTCTCCAGTTCCCTCCCGAGTCCCCTCACCAGTTTCCTCTCAAGTTCCTTCTCAAGTCCCCTCTCCAGTTTCCTCTCGAGTTCCTTCTCGAGTCACCTCTCAAGTCTCCTCTCGAGTCACCTCTCGAGTTCCATCTCTAGTCTCTTCTCGAGTCACCTCTCTAGTCCCTTCTCAAGTCCCTCCTCTAGTCACTTCTCTAGTCCCCTCTCTGGTCCCTTCCCGAGTCCCTCCTCTAGTCCCATCTCTAGTCCGATCTCTAGTCCCTACTCAAGTCCCTCCTCTAGTCAATTCTCTAGTCCCTCCTCTAGTCCCTCCTCTAGTCCCCTCTCCAGTCCCCTCTCGAGTTCCCTCCTCTAGTCCCTCCTTTAGTCCCTCCTCTAGTCCCTCTTCGAGTCCCCTCTCTAGTTCCCCTCTCGAGTTCCCTTCTCTAGTCCTTTCCCTAGTCCCTACTCAGGTCACTTCTCTAGTCCCATCTCCAGTTCCCTCTCGAGTTCCCTCTCGAGTCCCCTCTCCAGTTCCCTCTCGAGTCCCCTCTCCAGTTCCCTCTCCAGTTCCCTGCTCTAGTCCCCTCTCTAGTCCCTCCTCTAGTCCTCTCTCTAGTCCCTCTTCGAGTCCCCTCTCTAGTTCCCCTCGCGAGTTCCCTCTCGAGTTCCCTTCTCTAGTTCCTCCTCTAGTCCCTCCTCTAGTCTCTCCTCTAGTCCCCTCTCTAGTTCCCCTCTCGAGTCTCCTCTCGAGTCCCCTCTCGAGTCACGTCTCAAGTCCCTACCCAAGTCCTGGTCCGTTGGAGGTTCCGCTGGGGGTCCTGCCAACTCCATGTCCTGTCCCGTTGGAGGTCCAGTCGACTACTCCTCTGCCGGGGGTCCTACCAATCGTATGTCTGTCCCGTTGGAGGTCCCGCCGTCTACTCTCCTGCCGGGGGTCCTGCCAACCCATTGTCCTGTCCCGTTGGAGGGCCCGCCTTCTACTCTCCTGCCGGGGGTCCTGCCAACCCTTTGTCCTGTCTCGTTGGAGGTCCCGCCGTCTACTCTCCTGCCGGGGGTCCTGCCAACCCTTTGTCCTGTGCCGTTGGAGGCCCCGCCGACTACTCTCCTGCCGGGGGTCCTGCCAACCCTTTGTCCTGTCCCCTTGGAGGTCCCGCCGTCTACTCTCCTGCCGGGGGTCCTGCCAGCTCCTTGTCCTGTGCTGTTGGAGGCCCCGCCGACTACTCTCCTGCCGGGGGTCCTGCCAACCCTTTGTCCTGTCTCGTTGGAGGTCCCGCCGTCTACTCTCCTGCCGGGGGTCCTGCCAGCTCCTTGTCCTGTCTCATTGGAGGTCCCACCGACTACTCTCCTGCCTGGGGTCCTGCCAACCCTTTGTCCGGTGCTGTTGGAGGTCCCGCCGACTACTCTCCTGCTGGGGGTCCTGCCAACCCTTTGTCCTGTCTCGTTGGAGGTCCCGCCGTCTACTCTCCTGCCGGGGGTCCTGCCAATCCTATGTCCTGTGCCGTTGG